CGTTGTCGGCCAGCGGGAAGCTCACGTCCTGCAGGCTCCTGCGCAGCGATGGGGCCGCGTCAGCGGTGCCTGCAGCCCCGGCGGGATCTCGCAGCAGAGCCCGGGGGAGCCCTCGTCCCCGCTTGGCCACCAGCACCGCAGGGAAGTCCATGCGATGTCCCTTCTTGCTCCCATCTCTCCTGTCGTGGCCACCCGACATCCCCATGGTCGTCCCCGCGCCTCGCCACGTCCTCACCTGTTGAGGACCACGACGACGGCGGCGCCGTCGGGGCGCACGAAGGCCACGCGCTCCAGGTCGCAGCCCTTGGGCTCCGTGGAGGCGACGAGCCCCACGCGCCGCGAGCCCTCGGGGATGAACTTGCTGCAAGGGGAGGAGCAGGAGCTGGCGGCAGCGTCCCACGTTGGGGACACCCGGCACGAGCCCCCCGGCCCACCTGAAGTGCCCCATGTGGTAGAACATGGGCTGCTTGTAGAAGACGTCCTTGTCACGGTCCACGATGACGGGGCTGTCCACGTAGTTCTTGACCCAGTTGGGGCCGCCCTCCAGGTCCAGCGCCAGGTTCCAGTCGGTCCAGCCGGCCACAAAGTGGTTCAGGTTCTGCGAGGGGACAGCACAGACGTCAGCCCAGACGCCAGGGTGATGGAGGAAGGCCGTGCAGGCTCCCTGGCCCGTGGGCTCACCGTGAGGATGCTGTGGCTGTACTGATTGCCCCGCTCCCAGGAGCCCAGCACCACATCGGGCTCCCAGAAGTGGGAGCCGATGCACGCCTCCGTGGCCAGGATGAAGTAGTCGGGGAAGAGCTCGTGCGTGGGCACCACCGTGTCCTGGATGGGCCCGATGAAGTCCAGGTACCAGTGGATGCCGATGCCGTGCACGTAGCGAGCCGCCTGCTCGTCCTCCAGCACCTGCGCGGTGCGAGGGTCGGACACCAGCCACGTGCCCACGTCCCCCCCGGCGTCGTCGCCCCCTCACCACTTTGGCCCAGTGCGGCAGATGCAGCCGGTTGTCGTCCAGGATGATGAGGCGGATGTCGCGGTGGGAGCTGTTGGCCAACGCGGGGCCCAGGTCGCGGGCGATGAAGTCCCGCTGCTGCTCGGCCGTGAAGCCCAGGCACTGGAAGGGGTAGTTGTTGATGAGCCCGGCCGAGGGCTCGTTCTCCGCTGTCACGGCCCAGAAGGTCACGTTGTGCTTGGCGTATTCATCCAGAAACCTGCGAGCAGGAGGAGGGAGTCCTGAGCGCCTCCGGACCCACCTGGCTGCTCCATGCTTGGCCACGGGCACCCGGCACCACCGCAGAGCCCTGGGATGCACCGTCCCCCCAGCCGCTCCTCACCGAACAAAGTAGTTGGCCCAGGTCTTGTGGTACTTGTCCCCCGCCTGCCCCTTGAGCGTGCCCTTGCCCACGAAGTGCACGAGCGGGATCTGGGGGGGACAGCCAGGGACACGCTCAGCACCAGCCCCACGGGCAGCAAGGCCACCACAGGACCCAGTGCCACCGCGGGGGCCTTCGGCCACGCTCACCTTCATCCTTGTGTCCTCCTCGGCCAGCTGGAAGTGCCGCAGCTCGTAGTCATTGGGGACGTCGGCGTAGCTGTAGGGGCGCTCGGAGAAGTCGCTGCAGCCCAAGGGCATCCGGAGCAGGGTGTACTCGATGCCTGCGGCGCGGCAGAGCCTGCAGCGGCGCGTCCTCCGCGGCGTCCCCGTCCCCGTGCCCGTCACCCACCTTCCTCCGAGAAGTAGGAGCGGAGCAGATGCTCCCGCGCCGGCGCCGACCGTGCCAGGATGTTG